TAGCTAGTATTGCTGTTTTGAAAGACCAAAAAGAGTTGAACTCTCATTGTTTAGCTAGAAAGTTCCTTAAGAAGGCATCTTTTAGGTTGGTTTTCTGTAATAAAATTATGTCTAAATTGTATGATTTTAATAAAATAAGAGTTTTTTATGCTTTGGACTTATTGTTTAAGCCTTTTATATTCAATATACCAATTTTGATCATTGTTCAATATAGCAATTTTGATTATTATTTGAGTTGAAAAAGAAATGAAGCTACACTGGACTTTATTAATCTTGTGTTAAGCTCTTGATAGACAGCTCGATAGAAAGCCTTCTTCATTCTTGTAAGAGTGACTTGTTCTTGCTTGGTCTTTTCTTTTGCCCTTATTTTTTGTTTTTTATAGATTACTGTAGTAAAAGGTGCTTCTTCTATATTGTTTCCAGAGTTAACTGATACAACCATTAGCTTAGCTTCTTTTGTTTCTATTTCATTTGTTTAGTTAACATCTGCTATAATATCAGTAGACTCAGATTTCTTGTTGTTGGCTGTTTCAGAGAGTATGTCTTCTAGTGTCATTTCTTCATTATCTGAAATAAAATCTGAAGTTGTATCCTTTGCATTTGTTAAGATTTTTGCTTGTTTTTCTACTTTAGAAATGTTAATATAAGGATTGTTCTGGCTAAAGCTTGTTTCTAAAAGCAAAATGTTTTGGGTTCTAATTTTTTCTCTATACTCTTTGACTTCTTTTAAGCACTGTCTCATCTCAATTGAAGCTTTTAGTTCTTTGTAGTCTTTCTTGAAGTAGCCTTTCTTTTTATAATAGAAGCAGATTTTTGGTGCTTCTTTCCAATATGGATGCTTCTGGGTATTCTAGATGATACTTCAGGGTTCTTAGTAGTTTCAAATGTAACTAACCATTGGTCTGAACAAACTGTAATACCCTTGTAGAGTAGAGACTTGATTGATGCAATTTGTTCTATATTTTGAAAAGCCTTGAGAACTTGATAACTAATAATTTTAGGATCACCTATAGGCATGTTTTGAAGTTTAACTGTAAGAAATAAGCAGTTTAGGTTAATAAAAATGTATCCAAATAAGGTTTGTTTGATGAGAGAAATTCCATTAGCTGCATATAGCTGAACTTTTTCCTTATTTTTAAGAATCACTTCAAGAAATGACTGTTTTCCTCTAGATATATATAGTTTAGCTGCTACTAGAACTTCTTCTAGACTAGCAGCCAGGGCTGCAATTATGCTATTAGTAAGAATATTATTTAAACTTTGAATGTTTAGTATAAGGGTATTCTTATTTTTAGAGCATATTTTCTGACTAGAAGAGGAGTTTGTGAAAATAGCTTTTCTTTCTTTAAGTCTTGTGAATAGCTTCTATCATTGTTTTGGTTTTGTGCTATTGTTTGTTGTATTCTTGTTTAGTGTATCCTTATTGTCAGATATAATTGGTTGCTGGCTAGTAATGTTTTTAAAGTTGGTTGCTGTATTGGTGCTCATGTGTTCTTGTTTATTATTTTTTTGACACATCTTTATGATTATTTGGCTTAAGCACATGCTCTTGGTTTGGTATGTTTTCCTCTTTGTCTTTTTGTCCATTGTTATTTATTTCTTGATTGTTGTTTTCTTTTTCTTCTAGTTTATTTTCTGTTTGGCTAGCCCAATCAGAGTTAGTTTTCTTTGTTGATGTGGTTGCTGTCATGTTTGTATTCTGTTGGGTGTTTACAAAGCTATGTTTTTTCAAAACTGTAGTATTTTCTTTGTTTTAATTGACTTTTGAAAGTTTAAAGACTCTTTTCTTGTCTGTTTCTGTCCTAACTTTCTTGTATGAAAGCCTCTCATAGTTGCTAATAGTAGTCTATGTTTTTTGTGAGTTATATACCTCTCTTGGCTTGAGTTTAAAAAGTGAATTGTTTTGTTTAGATATGAAATTTTGTTTATTCTATAAGTTTCAGGAGTAAACCAAAAAGAGTTTTTAATATTACTTTAGCAAAGTTCATTTCTTCTAATATATGTGCAATAAAATTATGATTAATTTTATTAAAAGCTTTTTGCTGATTAAGCAATAGAAGCTAATTTGATATTGTTTGATTATTTAGATTTCTCAGAACTGTAATAATGTCTAGTGCTATATCTGTGATTAACCTTTCTTTAATGAAGGCTTGTTGTAAATATCTAATTAAAGATTCACAAATAGAGTTACTTCTATTAGCTAAGATTTTCATAAAGATTTTAATATCACAGTTTGTGAGTAAGATTGGTCTTCAGTTGTTAATATTTTTTAAGTTAGTAGCTTTTTGGAAATTAAAGTAATGAAACTTTTGGACTATGATCTTGGAATTGTACCAGACTCTAAACAGAAGTTGAAGAACTTGAACAAAACTGGTACTATTTTATTTATAATTTCTTTGTAGAACTCATAACTAAGGCTATCTGAACCTGAAGCCTTATTATTTGAAAGAGAGCTAATAACATTTCTGATTTCTTCCTTAGAAATAAGTTTTATGAGTGATTGGTTTTGTGATTCAGTTACTTTTTGAAGATTTTGGAAAAAATAGTTCATTAAATTCTTGTCACTACCTCAGTTTTATAAATATTCTGATGTGTTTTATTTATAAAATGTAAAGTAGTAGCTGAGTCTTCAGAGTTATTATTATTAGGAGCTTAAATTTGAACTTGGTTGACTTTTCTCTGTCTTCAATCCATTTGATATTTGATCTTGTTTGCCATTTTTCTAAGAGCACTGAAGCTCATCTTGAAGCTACTAGTTAATATTTTCTATTTGTAATAGAACTGCTATTGGATTCTTTTTATTAGTAACTTTTTTATTTAGCTTTGAGAGTTGTTTTTGAAGCCTTTGAATCTTCTTTTCTAGAGCAAGATTAGGCCTGAAGGCTCTAATTATAGATTGTATTCAGCATTTGCAAAGGTTCTATTTTGAGAAATCAGTAATGCTTTGGAGTTCTTCGATTACTTTTTTTTTAGCAGGTCATTATTCCAGCTATTTTTGCAGAATTTTCATTGTTTTGCTTTAGGGTTTTCCAGTGAGAGGTGTATTTCGTATTTTATTATTAAATGATCAGAATTGCCAAATTGTGTTGTTACATTTTTACAATAGCTGCTATGATCACTATTTATAAAGATGTAATCAAGCCTTGTAGCTATTCTGTGACCTGCATAAGTGTTCTGATAATAAGTTAAAAAAGAATAATCATTTTCAGATAGTAATGCAGTATCTGTAAACTCTGTTATAAGTTTTTTGAGAAGATTTCTTGTAGAGTCATAAGTAATAAGTGCATGACTGATTCAATCTTTTTGTGGATTCAGGTTCATGTTAAAGTCTTCAGTCAAAATATTAATGCATTTGTCATCCCTTAGGGGAACTTAACTATTGAAAAATTTGAGCCTATCTTTTATATTTGGTGGTGCATAAACATTGTTCAAGAAAAATGATTGGTTTTTGTATAGAAAAGTTGCTGTGATAACATGGCCATTCTAAGATTCTATAATGTTTTCAAATAAAATGTTTCTGTTTTCTGCTAATATTGCTGTCTTGAAGAACCAATAAGAGCTGTATTCCCATTGTTGTAAGAGAAAATTTCTTGTGTTATTGTTTTCTAAATTTGTTTTTTGTAACATAATTATGTCTAATTGATATGATTTAAGTAATGTCAGTGTTTTTTGTGCTTTGTCTAAATTGTTCAAACCTTTAATATAAAGTATTGCAATTGTAATTTGTTTAACTATTAATATTAAAAAATTGGAGATTGGTGAGTTAGATTAAGGTCTTTTGGTTTTGAGACTAGGATTATTTTTAGAATCCAGACTCATAACTTTGTTTTTTTCTGTATTTGTTACTTTTGCTTTACCCTTGTATTTTTTTTTAACATTACCAATTGGAATTCATTGTCATTATTGCTAATGAAAGAGGATTCAGCAACCTTGGAGTCATCATAGAGAGTGATCAGTAGATCTACTATCATATTGGTATCTATGATATGATTTTCTATTAAAGAATTGTTTAGTTCCTTTAAAGTATCTTTGGTTGGTTCTTTTTAGCTATTTCAGTTTTAATCTAAGGCTGATCTATATTGATATGACTATTTAGATTTATATCTGCTAAGATTTGCTTATTAATGTTGTTAGCATCTAAGTTATTATTATTTTTAATATAGAGGTTATCTGCACTAAAGTCTTCTAACTTGAAGGTTTGATGCTTGGTAGTTTTGTTTTGAAATTTTTATAATCTGCATACTTTTTTATAGCTCTAAGTTCTACTGAAGCTATGTACTTGGTGCATTCTTTTTTGATGTGACTCACTTTGTTACAAAAGTAGCATAGTTTTGAAGCCTCTCTCCAGTTCGTAACTACTTTGTAGTTTCAAATATGTGTATATCTGAGAATTCTATTTGCTAGGTCTGGGTCATCTGTAGTCTCAAAAATAACTACCCATTGATCTGAAAGAACTGAAGTGCCTTTGTGTACTAAAGGTTTGATAGAGGAGATTGTGCCTACATCTTGAAAAGCTTCTTTGATTTTTTTAGAGATAAAATCTTTTTTACCTATTGGTGTATTTCTAATTTTTACTAAAAGAAAGCTTCATTTAATATTAACAGGAATATAACACTGAAGGAACTGTTTAAAGATTAAGATTCCTTCTGCTGCATAGTACTGTTGCTGGTCTTCATTAGAAAAGATAACTTCTAAATGAGTTCTTCTGCCTTTGGTAACTAATGGTCTTATTGCTATAAAACTATTACCTAATTTTTTTGCCATTGCTTTAACTATGTTTACTATAGATATATTTTCTAAATTTTGAGTTTCAAAAATTAAAGCATTTTCATTTTTAGTATAGATTCTTTTTCTAGAAAAGAATGTAAAGTAGGTGGCTTTTTCTCTTTCCAACTTAGAAAAAAGATCAGACCATTAATTTGGTTTTGATTGATTGGTCATAATTTCTAATTGAGATGTAACTAAGTTGCTATTATAAGACACATGTTTGGTTTGTTTTGTTACTTCTATATATATGTTGTCAGCAGATATAAACAAAACATCATCATTTTTTACAAGAACAGTATTTTTTTTGTTTAGTACTTTGCTGACTTTTAAGTCTGTTATTATATATGCTTCTTGTGCTTTTTGTGTTGATAAAGCTTTTAGTTCTTGGCTATTTAAAACTTGAGCTTTAGTTTGTTCTAATAAGCTCTTAGAAGAGCCTGAGTTTAAACTAGTTTCTTCTTCATAAATGTTAGAAGTTCTGATTTTCTTATAAAACATAGGTATTTCAAATGACTTAACAAAAAGGAAGTGTAGCATGTTAGTGCATGGATACTTTCTTTTCTTTAGCACAAGAAATTTAGCTCTTGTGGTATAGTTTCTAATAGATTTTAATAAAGGTTTAATTGTTTTTGTTTTATTTTTTTCTTCACTACTAAATGTAAGTAAAGAGAGTATGTGTTTGTTTTTTTTCTACTAATTATTTTTTATTTTTGGCAATAACTTAATTTTAAACACAGTTGAGAAATAGCCTTCAAACATTAATTAATAAAATAAGAGAATAATGCATGCATTTATTCTCTGCTTTGCAGAAATAAATAGTATAACTGTTCTTATTTTAATATTAATATTTATTAGAAATCCTAATATTAAAATTTTTTATTAATATCAGGAATTTTATAAATTCAATATTAATATTATTTTATTAATATCAATATTATCTTACTTTAATAATTCTGTCACACTAAATTAGGAATTTTATCATCAAATTCTAATATTAATAGTTTTTATTTTATTTTTTAATAGTAAATATAACAGGTGTTCATTTTTTTTAATAATAAATATAGGTTGTATAACAGGTAAATAGACAATTAAATTTTTGTAATTTATTTGTTATATAAAAATAAATCTTTATTAAATATTTTATATCCAATAACAGTATATCTTGCTTTAACTTTAATATGCTCACAACTTAAGACCCAGATTAGATATCTACTTGATTTGTCCTATAAAACAATCATCTTGTGGTCCTTCTGATCACAGTATGATCAAGTAAAACAGGTCATTAAGGTTATATATATTAATATTGTCTTGATGTAATAATAATAGCTTGTTATACTATATTTATACTATTAATATCAGAATTAAAGTCTGATAAAATCTGATAAAAAATCTAATATTATTTGTATAATATATATTTTATTTGCAATAGTTTTATTTCTATATAAATATTACTTAATAATACTGAAATTCAACAATACTTAAATAAATACTAATAAATTGATATATATAATATATAATATGGAAACTTTTTTTGATGATCATCTGAACCAAACTTTTCAAAAAGCTGAACTACAGAAAATAATATAGTGAATATATTAAACTTTATAAAAACCTTTCTGAAGTACTGTATATATATTGTTGGACATTGAAATAGAGTTGAAAAAGAGTTACAGCCTTGTGATGACAGTTTAAAGAACACTCTAGGACTATAGAAGAAGTAGTTGGTAAAAGCCAAGATTTCTTATTAAGTAAACAACAAAATTAGATATATTAGTTCTATACAACTATAAAACCTACAAGAAACACTTACAAGAGTTAAGAATTTACAAAAGCTAAAAGTTGGTTCACCTAGCACTCACTTTTTCTTCGAAGAAAATTTTGTAAAAGTGGGCAATTTAGTTTATCCTCTCCTAAAGATTGATATGTAAAATCATCAAAACAGTCAGCAGTATTTACTTCCTAAATAGGATTGTTTACAACATAGATTGGAAATAATACAGCAATACAAACATGACTATACACATGCCTCAAGCCACTGAAAAACTGTCAAACACTGTCTTCAGACTAACCAGTATCCTATGCTGAC